ATTAATTATTTCACATTCGAGTCTGTATTGGAGAACGTCCTCTCCCCAAAAAAGGGAAGACGACTACCGCAAGGTTTTAGCCAATCAGAGTGCGTTGCCTAAAATAGCTCTCGTACACTAGGAGAAACAAATATGGCGCGGTGGAGTTCGAAGTAAGTCGTTTACAGATGCACGTTAGTAAAAACTCTCTCCCTTCATTGTTCGTGAACAGGTTTGTGCACTTAAACATTTAAAGAATTCATTTAACTTCTCGTCGGTTAAAATAGTCCAAAAATCAACGAATGGCTTGGAAATATTTACGACGGAGTGTAGCCTATTATGTCAACAGTGCTTGATGCCGTAATTCTCAATGCCGATTCACCGAATGAGTAACTTGTACCAGGAAATATACCGGTGACATGATTAGAGACAGTGATATTTTTCGGGTCAACTGAACCAGCCCTTTTCGGTTGGATATTTATGGACGACTGTTACTTTTTTTGTTGTTTGCTATGCTTTCTGTGCCGCAATTTTGACATCGCGATTTGCACGCACAGCGTAGCACTGACTACAAATGCGTTCCCGACGATTTTGATACTTACTGGCAGTAGTGGTGAGCATCGTGCAGATGTCAAAATCGTCAATAGGAGTGCCTGAATTTTGTGCTACGCACACACGTATCTTATCTTGCTTTTCTAGTCGATCTGTTTTTATACTTTTCAGATCGAGAGTAGGCCTATTGTTGATGAGGCAAGCAGTCAGAGCAGTCCAGAACTAGAGGGTAAAGAGCTCCCTGAGGTAAAGTTTTCTGTTATTTTTAAATAATACAGGCCTTTTAGTTAATCTGGCATATTCNATCGATTTACTATTGCATGCAGCAAAATTAAAATCCACACTTACCAAGAAGAATCTTGCTCTACTTGGGTTACTTGAATAACTGTGTATTCTTCTATAGATTGTCTTTACGCTATCTGTCTTCTTAGATGGCTAATGAACCCACGGCAACTTGCGAATAAGTGAGCAGCGATAAAATATATGTATATATAAATATGTTAATATAACAGTGATTGGCAACCAGCTTATTCATCACGTGACACTGCCAAAGATATTTTTAGATTAATTTATTTGCTCCCGACGCTGTATAGCCAAAGCTGTGTGCTAGATATTTATGATGGCTTCAGATACAAAGGTCGTTAGCTATTATTTATTTATTTATTTATTTATTTATTTATTTATTTATTTATTTATTTATCTTTTTCTATTTCAAATTTTAATTTTTTAGCTATTCATATATTACCATATCTATAAACATTTATTACCATCTCTTCATTATTACCAGGGTGAAAGACATATATAGTGCATGCATGCAGTCGCACAAGTAATTCACATAATAAAATCACGTAATAAAACCGTTAGAATATACATTATAAAATGATTCTAAAAAGAACAAATAAGATAATTAATTGTATTTATGGAGGGAGTGATTACTAGGGGTAGTAACAATTAAATACATAAACATTATATTGATAGGGAATAGTCTTTGGAGGCTGAATCTGCACATTTCGACCTTTAGGTAGCTGACCAAGGCTCGGTGACAACAGTTGCCCGGGGCACTGACATGTCTTAGCCGCTGCGTATCTAGGTATACACAAGTATTTGGTATGATTAATGTGTTTGATAACTATTTCTATCGAGCTACATCAGTAAGAATCCATTTATGCAGCATTTTAGCTGCAGCAATATTTACCCGCATCGTTCTCTATTGCAGTAGTAGCAGCTACACTGGAAGATCACTATGTTATTTCATTTTTATCCAACATTTTTATCCAACATCCCCTGGCTATCACCCGAATTCTTACTTTTTTTTACACAACATAAGGGAAAAAAATGTCGGTTGAATACTTATGTCTGACGGAACTTTGTCTTGTTTAGCCCTTGCAAACGCGAGAAATGCAGTAGCCCGTTTTGGTAAAGAGTGGTATCCGTAGACCGGGTCGTTGGCGTCCGCAGCTGATACGGTCTATAATCTGCGAACTAAGTACAGTATGTCACAGATATGTCCAGCCTGGAGCTGCTGTCTGTCCCGCCTGGAGCTGACGTCATCTATTGCAGACGAGACAAAGAAACAGAGTGACTGACGCGGAGTTTGAAGTTTGAACTAAGAATGTAATCAGTACCGCAACACATGCACCTTTCTGGTTTAAAAACTGATTTTTGGTGTAGCCATTGCGCAGTCATTTTAGTGTCATCAGGTATACAGTGTAGCTGTCAAACTTTGAACACGTCAGTTGTGTTTATATCTCCAGGAGCAAATGTTTTGTTGAAAAAAAAAAAACATCTGGTATATATATTTTCTTTTAAAACTGTATTATTAATCTGTCAAGTTACGTCTCAAATACAGTAAATGATATTAAATAAAGCAAAAGTGCATGTGCTTTACGTTTGACTTTGGACTTATGACATCGTACTGAAGACTCATTGCAGATCAGTTCCTGTGATTGGCGGATACTCAATATTGCTGCAATTAGTCTGGGGCAGTGTAAAGCTACCCCATGAAAAGGTAAGCATAGTGAGCAAACTAGCTTTATAGTGCCCTGACACTCAGGGCATGGTTTTGTTACTTACAGCGTAATTGATTATCTGCTTGTGATTCCCAACGTGTCATTTTCAAATTTCCGACAAGTATTACAATTAACAGCATCTGATATAATTCTAGGAATTCCAAATTTGAAATGCAATGCGCTCAACAGTTTGCTGATCATAACAAAATTAATTATATATAAATTTAAAATGAAAAACATTACCCCTAACATAGAAAATATTAAAATAGAATGGAGACAGGCCTACATCGCAGAGAGAAATATAAGTCTGAGAAACATGACAATAGATAAATTTAATGAAAAATGGAAAAAGGTGCAGCCTCTCTTCGTGGACTGATATCTTCTATCTACGTATGTTCCCCTGCCGATATTTGATAGTAAAACACATATTTGTTTTTATCTGTATTAGATCATATTATTTATTAAGTATTATTAAGTATTTTACTATTAGGTTATCAATATATCGTTGTTGACACATATTTTAAATGACACAGTACCTATATATATATTGCAAATGACTGAGTGTCTCTTTGTGAGTGAGTGAGTGAGTGAGAGAGTGAGTGTGATTTTTATTTAGTTATTTATCAATTTTGTATTTTTTGTTGAGATCTGTACTTTTTGGAGATATGCAATTAAAAAAAAAAAAATTCAAATTTCCGGGATTGTTAAGTCATGTTGAGTACAAACAAATTGACATGTTGATGTGTTTTTGAGTGCAAAGACAGCGAACTTTTATTATAGCAATGAGTTTTGTCAGTGCTAGGTTTACAAGTTAGTTTATACCTTATGTCATTTGCTGCATACTTTTGTATCTAAAGCAACATTGTTTTTTATGTGTTATGTCCGAATGAATCACCCTTCTGCGATTTCTATTCCATGGCGGCCTACATAAATATTTCCTCGTTTTCTTCCTGGAATCGCACATCGAATAATACCTCTTACTGAAGCTACCAAGGGCAGAACCAAGACTTTGCAGTGGACCCCTGAATGCCAATTAGCATTTCAGGATGCTAAAATTGCTCTTGCTTCTGCAACTATGCTTCATCACCCTGAACCACAGGCAGCAACCAAGATATCAGTGGACGCTTCTGACACCGCAATAGGAGCAGAACTTTCTCAGTTTCAATCAGGGATGTGGACACCTATTGCTTTCTTTTCTAGAAAACTCACACCTACCCAGAAACGATACTCCACTTTTGACCGTGAGCTTTTGGCAATTTACAGTACCATCCGCCATTTCAGATATTTTTTGGAGGGAAGACCATTCACCATTTTCACTGATCATAAACCTCTCACTTTTGCGTTCAAGAGTACATCTGACAGATCACCACGTCAAGAGACACAATTATCATTTATTGCTGAATTTACAACTGATATACGACATATCAGTGGAACTGATAACATTGTCCCAGACACTCTGTCCAGAGCCCCAGTGGGAACTGATGAGCCACTTATTGCCTCCAAAGCTACAATGCCGACAATTGACCTTACACAGTTAGCAGCATCACAAAAGACTGACACTAAGATGGTTGAACTGTGTGCCAATCCAGGATCTTTAAAGTTAAAGGAAGTCAACTTTGGTGAGGTTAAACTTCTCTGTGATACAACCAGTCGACCTCGGCCAGTAGTTCCACCTTCAATGACAAAGATCGTTTATGAGGCAATACACAATCTTTGTCATCCTGGAACAAAACCAACAATCCGTGCCATTTCAAGTCGTTATATCTGGCCTGGACTCAAAAAAGACATTCGTAATTGGGTCAAATCTTGTCATGCCTGTCAAACAAGTAAAATTGGACGTCACACTAGAGCACCGTTAACCACCTTTGATCCACCAGATAGACGATTTGGTGATATTCATGTTGATTTGGTTGGACCTCTTCCTCCTTCAGAAAATAACAAATATCTTCTGACAATTGTTGACAGGTTTACAAGGTGGCCAGAAGCTGTACCTTTACCGAATGCAGAAGCAGTTACTTGTGCCAAAGCTCTTTTATGCTCATGGATATCGAGGTTTGGTGTTCCAGACGTGTTCAGTCAGTAATTGAGAGACCACCTCAGACAGGAAAATATGAATCACTAAAGCATGCACTGTTAGAAGCCTATGAAGCAACACAATACTAAAAGGATACAGCATTACTTAATATAAATGGTCTAGGAGACAAACGACCTACGGAACTATTGATGCATATGAGCTCTTTAAATGCAGATTGGTTAGAAACGACACAAGTCATCAAATGATAGTACAGGGTCGTGCCGAGCACCGATCCAAGAGAAGGGGGAAATTAGTTACTTTATAAACTGATAACAGTATCGGGAAATTATGTGTTAACCAAACATATAGTTAGCAATAATACATGGAAAACAACCGAAGAGAAGCATTTGCGACAGTTTTATTTGCATGACGTAGAATGACTTGTTTACAAGACAGCTAACCACTCCCTTATCACACCAAATGAGTACATACGAATATTAAGATATGTAATTGTAATCTGAATATTTAATAAGATAGATCAATTAAGTAAAATATTAAATAACAGAAATGGTGCACAACGAGGTGCCTTTGGAATCTAGCAGGCTTACTTGTCATTAAATCAATTAACCAACCCCCTTGCATTATTAGAATTTAAAAAGTGATTTAAGGCATACTGCATCGAAATCAAGCTTTCCTAGCAAACTAAATGTTTCCCTTTAATATAAAATATTAAAACATAATAAATACATATAATTATAATATTTTTTCACCCCACTAGAATATTATATAAAGGAAACTGAAATGAGTACATAATGACCTTCAATACAAGTAAGATAAATTTAAGTTTTAAATTAATTTGAGAAGTGAATGATGTTCTATGAAATAAGTAAATAAGCAAGCTGCGACAGTTTTTTTCAATCTGCTAACTAATATTCAGTGGGAATAATATACAACTGCATATTAAAACGCAGTCGAAAAATCTCTCCATAACTCCGCTTTGTCCAGCATTTTTGAAGTCCTGGCGTTTCTCTGTAAATATAAAGCATAACGTTTGATAAATACTTAAGCTTGGATTCCAAATACAATTCATGTATAGCATAAAAAGAGACGAACGATTCCAAGATATAAGATATAAGAATTTTTTTGTAAAAATGCAAATTTATGAAGTACTAGATTCAAGAAGTGTTGATCGAAGTTCACAATCATTAGTTAAACTGACCATTTTGCTTCTTACAGTAAACCTCTATTTCCATAAACACTTACCATTTAATACAATTCATCGCAACACATGTAGTTTATCATTACTTGGCAGGGGCAGCCGGAAGGGGCAGGGATTGTCACGTGACAAACCGGACGTGATTGGTCGGTACATACGTCGGTCACGGCAGCCTGCACTGCAGCAACATAGGTCTCATCTGGAATGTTTCCATTAGAAAAACATAAATAAAACAATATCTTCCGCATGGTCCTTTTTTAGGGTAAGGAATGCATTGTGGATATGTATCTTAAAATGCAAAAATAATTATGATGAAATAAAATTTAATAACATGTCAAAAATATACGTTATTTAAAAAACTATATAATATGATGAGTACCTACGTAGGATTCATGTTGGTTTTTATATGCAATGTAATGAAAAAAGATATCCATGTATTTTGAGTCTTTATTTCCAAAGTTATGACAATTTGATGTTTCAATCGAAGTCCATGTTGGGCGCTTTATTAGTGTCTCTATAATTACCAAACAGCAAATAAATATTTCCAACATAACTTCATACTTTGATTCTACTGTTATGCTTAAAATTATTGTGTCCAGAATCTATTAAGTCACTTCTATTCCCTTAAAAATGTTGTTCGTTCAGTCTATTTATTGTTTTGATTGATATATTATTCTTGTCTTCTTTTAATCGGGATATCAATAATGATCCTTGTGACACCCTCTTTTTAGTTTTTATGTATTTTGGATTTGGGCAGCTTCCTGATATTTAAGCAGAAATCCAAGTAGTACGTGCACATCAAAATAGTGATTTTTATCATTTTTATTAGTTTATTCATTTTGTTTTCAATGTGAGATTTGGTTTAAATTTAGATAAAAGAGGCATTTTGCCATTGATTCCACTATATATTGCTGATTCCATTTCATATGGTTTCAGTTTTAAAGAGAGAGAAAGAGAGGTTTCTTAGCTCGTGCAGTGGACGTACTTTGGCGGAGGTCTGCCCTCTGAGTGCTAGCAAGTAAGGAACTAAACCAATCCTAATATAATATTTTCATTTTGCTTCAAGTCTGTATACAGTACTTTTTTATTTTATACCATAATAGGAAATCCATTATATAGGAAAAAAGTATCGGCTTACCATAGTTTTGGATACTTTCAATCAGCACAATCCCACATCTAAAGGTGACATACTTGTCATTTGTGTTAGCTCCCTGGAAATTCACGCTAATATTATGAAGCCTATTTCCTAGAAATAACAATGAAAGTCACATTGTGAATACAAGTTGTTTTGAAAAAAAAAGGATCATCTTAAAATCATGCCACATGTTCGGTTTTAATATAGAACATGCCAGCACATTCAGCTTTACACCTTATATAGCAAAAAGAAATTATGATATGTAAAGCTAGATTTAAGTAATACGCTTGTTTGTATCAATCCTGTAATTGAGTTAAATACTTGCCAACTTTACTGCCAACGGTAAAAACAGAAAAAAAAATACGGGGATGTGAATCTTCTTTGTGAATCTTCTATGTGCCGTTATCAGACAAAAACTATTTTGTCATGTTATATCCGAAGGTTACAATAAGATACTAACCTCTGTCGTGTTGGAATGAACCCGGTGATCCTCCATTTGTTGTACAACACGGCTTTTGGGTGCAGTTTTCATATTCTTCCGGAAGTTGACCACAGTCATCACCACGGCAATCTGGGACGGGGTATATACACTCCTTGGTACGTGACCGAGTCACTGTTCCTGGCAGTCCACAGGTAGCAGAACAAGAAGACCACGGTAACCAATCACTCAGATAACCATCCACTGGAATATAAATATTAAAATGTCATCGTCGCCCTCAAAGGGGATATAATGTTTGTTCGAAACATAACGCAAATTTTTTTGGACGAACCTTGATGATATTTGCAGGATAGACCACATATGGACCAAAGAACAAATGAGTAGATTCTTTTGGGGGTGATATGGATAAAAACCAAAACGGGCCCTGCGTCGAAACTTCACATGTTGTAATATTCACACCTTAATATATATGAATTGTTTACGTCATGCACATTGTTGGGATGTTACAACCTGATCTCTTGCAGCACACGTTGCCTGACATGACTATATTGAAGTGTGCGCTCTTGTGGGGTACATGGTTTAGGCTATGTCTATAAAGCATTTCAGAGAGAGAGAGAGAGAGAGAGAGAGAGAGAGAGAGAGAGAGAGAGAGATGTATATATTTACCTGGGCAACAGGGGCCACTACAAGACTGAGTCTCGGTTTTGGCACCTACACAGTCGGCGCCACCGTAGGCGGGTTCAGGGCACCTGCAATCCTCAGAACGTGTCTGTGTACCATTTTCACACGTTACCGAGCAAGCACTCCAATTGCTGTACGGGCACAATCCGCCGTCAACTGAAGAGTCTGTGAACGTATAATTCTATATTTTATTCCACTTTTGAAGGGACAACATTGTAAGCAATACTTGCATATTAAACAGTTAGATAAAACATTAATTTTGTCAAGCAAACTAAGTGTAAGAGATCAATGTGTAATTAATAAGATGTCTAGCGATTCAATGTTATATCCAACACATGGCTGTCGATTGGTCGCGTCTTGACCGGGGCTACCGCTTGGTGGATGATGTGGTAATGGACGAGTATGAAAGAAGCACATGGCGAGTGAAACCCACGACACCCGGTCATTTAAGTGTTTAATTCTAAATGCAAGTCCATTTAAATGACAAAATGAATATGTTACTAACTGAAATACAGATTATAAAGAGTAAGAGACAAAGTCCATCACTTAAGCAAATTTTAACCAAAGCAAAATTTGAAAACAATTCCAAATGTGGAAACCTCAACAATAAATACGAGTACAGAAATATGAGGCGTCCACTAATTAAAGAGGGGAGCCACCTAACATTTAAAAAGGGACTTACATTTAGAATTAAACACCCATTCACCTGCACTAGCTCAAATTTAATTTATGTATTGACTTGCAGTGGATGCGGTGAGAACTATATAGGGTAAACCGGAGACACCCTCCGACACAGAATGACCGTTCACAGACAACAAATAAAACAACCTAAATATCAATGCACGTCTGTGAGTTGGCACATTAGGGAATGCTCTATGAACAATTAAACAAAGACACGGCATTCCCATTTTTTAATTCACCAGGGATACAACCCAAACAGAAAGGGAACTTAAAGAAAAAATCCTTTATTAATAAGTAAACAGGTAGTAGCAGATCCTAAAGCATTGGTCAAAGCAACAATCAAATATCCATTGTCAGAGACACCACATTGAGTCTTTATGACATATCATTTATCAACCAAAATAAACAAACCCCCTGAAGATACGATGAAATCGGTCGGGGTAATATAACTGCTGTTTTTTTTTTATTTCTTTTTGTCACACACACACACACACACACACACACACACACACACATATAATTTGTTTTTTAACGGAATAAAAATTTATGACCTGCTTACAGTGCTATGATGAACAATCGGTCATTTTTGCCAAACCTCATTTGTGTAGTTATGCTATTTAAGACGCAGCAGTAATGTGTCATTTTTTTTTTTTTTTTTTTTTTTTTTTGATAAGAAACGAGCAAGTTTCCCCCACTGATGTTGGAACAATGGTATCTTACCGAAGGCCCAAGGTCTGTTGAAGGCCCAATGAAGCCCCCCCCCAAAAAAAAAAAAAAAAAAAAATCCACAAATATTCTCCCATGGCAGTTACATTTTTTGGCGAAAAAATTCAAAACGGCCACCTTAGAATGGGTTGGGTCACCTAACTTTACATATCTTGGTAACCAAATATACCAAGAACATATTTTAAATTCTACTAAATGAGGCACTACCAATCATTTACAACAGCTTTCAATGTCACCAGTGCTGAGTGGGAATCCTTTGCAACGTCTTTCAAGGTCAAAGGGGTCAATGCCAAGGTCAACGTATAATAAGTGTAACGAAACGTCATCTTGTCTATATTTAAGAGGCCAGGGCCATGACCCAATTAATTTGACGGAACATTGATTTTACAGAAAACAGCATGCAACATTGTTTTAGAATATTCCATAACAGATAGGTATCTGCATTACTGCTTAGTAAGTGCACCACTCCTTTACAATCAATGTCTTTCAATTTTTTTTTTGTATTACTTCTTTCCATATTTGAAGACATTTAAGAAGATTAAACTTCACAAAAACATGCAAAATGCTTTGGATATTCCAGTCTAATATGTTTGTAAACATGGCAGTCTTAATGATTCACGATTCATTTAGAGCTCCATTATAAAATAAAATGAAACAAGACATCCCGTTCAAGTGCAAGTATGATTCTAGCAATGGTTCCCAAGTTCCCAAGTTGCAACCACCAACATCGAAATATTATACATTACCTACTACAAGTTTGTCACATAGGTACGGTCCAGGACATCTGTATATATAATATAATATAATATAATATAATATAATATAATATAATATAATATAATATAATATAATATAATGTGTTTCTGATTCGAATTTTAATTGTTTCTAATGTTCCTTCTCTTTCTCATGAATATACAGTAAGATCAGCAGACGAGACAATTAATGTTTTGAACAGCCAAACATCAATTTATGGCAATATGTTTTTATCTTATGTGATTTTGTCTTTCAGTATATAGACATTGGTCAAAAAGTTTGTCCCACCCCCAGTTTCATGTGCTTTATTTATAAATGATCATATCACAGAAGTTAATTGCTATGAATGGTGATTTTCATTCCAGACACCATAACTAACATGATTATTGGTACAGAAAATACAAACTAGCAGTTAAGATATCCACATTTTATACCATTTATTCACATTTATTGCATGTACCTCCTCAACTCCGATGTTCCACTGTCATTTCCACGGAGATAAAGAAATGCCCATTACATTGAAATGACACTACTAAAAGTCACCAAATTTAAACACATTTTGCATTAGGGTGTGCTCGTTAAAGGTCACGTGTCTATTATCGTATGTGGCCACCGCGCACTGTAATTATCTCTTGTAGACGGTGCCACTGCCTTCAACAAGGGTAACAATTCTGTTTTGTGAGATAATGCCCCATGTTTCCTAAAAAGCTTGGCGGAATTAGTCCGGACTATTTAGGGTTTGGTTCTCTTGTGGATTGCACACTTCAATTCACGCCAGGCGTGCTCAGTAGGTTTAGTATAAGGATTCAAAAGATGCTTTCTCCAGCCTCAGAACATTGAGTTTCTGCAACGAATCACTCACCACATGATAACTGTGAGCAAGTGTGCTGTCATGATCAAACCTGGATCACCCCTGAAGTCCCCTCCAGCAGATGGAATGAGGTATCATTTGAGAATGTTAGGTTCAGTGACCCCGGGACTACCAAAACTTGGTCAATCATCACTAGGGACAAATTGGTTTTGCTGAAGAATCAAGGTATTTGTTGTGTGCCTTCAGTGGTCAAAAAAGGGCCCGTAGGCATGTTGCAGAATGCATTTTGTAAGGTTTGTGCAGGATAATATTGCCGAAGTGCCACGTTGAGAGAGAATTGCAAGCCCATGGTTTGAGTGCATTGTTCTTTGCGGAAATGAACGTTATTGGGGCAATTCACTGAAACGTTCTCAACAAATATCTTACTCCATTTGTAAGAGGTGACTTCAAAGATACTGCAGGCGTCATCGTGAAAAAGCACTTGCTCACAACTTTCGTCTGCTGAGTGACTTGTTGCTGAAACCCAATGTTCAGAGGATAGAGCAACCACGTTTGAGCCCTGTTATTAACCTTACTAAACATCTGTGGCATGAATTGAAATGTGCAATGCAAAGGAGGACCAAACTCCTAATAATCTGGACCAACTCCCACAAGGTCTTTAGGAAGAGTGGGACAATATCCCATAAAACAGAATTGTTACCCTTGTTGAAGGCGAGCAGCGTCACCTACAGGAGATAATTACAGTACGCGGTAAACGCTGTAAACACAAACACAATTAGACAAGGAGCCTTTAACGAGCACACTCTACTGCAAAATGTTTGTAATTTGGTGACATTTGGTGGTGTCATTCCAATTGAATAGACATTTCTTTACCCCTGTGAAAATCACAGTGAAACGTCGGATTTGAGGGGGTACATGTTATAAATGTGAATAAATATTGATATCTTCATGGCTAGTTTGTATTTTCTGTCTGACTTATCATGTTAGTTATGGCATCTGGAATGAAAATCACTATTTATAGCAATCTTTACCTGTGATGTGACCATTTATAAATAAAAGCACATGATACCGAAGGTGGGACAACATTTTTGACCAATATTGTATTGCAGTTTTATCACAATCATCCTCTTTATTCAATAGCCTTAGATGGGTTTCCTGAATTGGAGCTCCGTCACTGCGCATCTTGATTCAACGTCAATTAAGAGCAGGCAGCGGCTGCGCATTAGATGCATTCACGAGCATTCTCAGGAAACCGGGAAGAGTATTTAGTACTTGACCATCTCAGTGTTAAGGCTCGGGCATTCATTCGGTAAGAGCCATTACAGTCCCATTGCTAGCTATCATGTGCGGGTCCTATCACCCTATTGTAATTTTTGACTGAACATAATTTAAACCACTTAAACGTGACTGAGCTGGGTCGATCCTGCTGGTTATGGGAACAGGGTCTTAGATGAGTCTGAACTTACCTATTAGCGCCAAAGGCTTGATAACAAATCAGGTGGTGTCCGTGCTGTGCAGGGGCCGGAGTCCAGGTTATGTTAACCGAGGCCGTGGTACCATTTACAGTAACCATTGCACCCACATTAGCACCGGTTGGTGGAATGACGTTGATGGCAGTTATTCTGTATGTGTGGAAAGAAGTGGACGTTATGAATATAATATATGCATGGGTGTGGACTATGTGCTGTCATGTCGATACGCATATTCCGTTGTCAACTGAAGTCTTAACTACATGGCATTTTAAATTGTTGCCTGTTGTATGCTGAACAAGGAAGTGCTTACAAGTGCAAACATACCCACTGGGATAAAATGCTATTAAGTCTTTCGTGAAGGTCTGCCCAGCACGTAGGTTTTTTGTCTCTGGTGGAGTTGTGAAAGCGGGCGGGTTGCCGCAATTACAACCATCCTTTATGAGAGCAAGATACTGAAATATCCAAGTTATTCATATATTGTAAAAACCCAATTTATGACAAATGAGAAATTTAGAAACACAATCGTCAATTCAAAAATCAATCAATCATTCAATCAATCAATCAATCAACCAATAAATAAACCTGTCATGTTTGCCTATGACAGTAAAAAGCAAAGTCAATATCTGAATACGTAGCGATATTAAGCAAGTGGTACAGTAAATAAAGGGCCTTTTTAAAATGCGACTTTTCGCCGATCTGCCCCACAAACGGACACGTGTAAGTGACGTGTGCTGCCACGTGTGGAAACAAAAGGCAGGTTCATTCTGGTGGATAATTATGGACAAAAAACTACAGGGAGCAGCGTATGTGCAGAAGTTTACTCAGCGAGCTGGCTACGCGTTTTATAACTATCGAAACATTGCTATTTAAATAATAATGCCATGGGGTCGGCAACTATGATAGGGTGAACCATACCGTCCTTTCCAAGTTTTTTTTCTGATCGCCAATATTTTCATTTTTTTTAATTTAAATACTTATATTAATTTTCCTGACCTGCAGCGGGACCTTTGACAATGGAGTTGTTACGTCTTTCTGCACTCCACCCTGTGTTATGTTTGTTGCGGGGAAATCTTCCAACATTATTGCTACTGCATAAAACCCACTACCGTAAAGGCTTCGCTTAGAAGACGGGATGATAAGGGTACAGTTCTGAAATAAATCAACTGATATTTTATCCACCAAAGCGTTGAGCCCAATATGTTAGTTTTGCACTGCAGGATGTTAAGTATTTCTGTAGATAATAACTCACAGAAAGAGTAAGTTGTTTTGTTATATTAAAACGTAATTTCAGACTTGACATTTAAAATGGAATATTTTAGTTTCAAAGGTTTGTCCAGGTAAAATGAGTCGTTTATTTTTAAAACGTGTATTTCATGTGGGCTGATTTCATGTGATTAGATTAATGTGTATTCAGGTGTGTCAGTAACAATAAACCGATTACCTTGTCTGAAACACTGTTAAATTACGCAATGTACGGCGATATCATTGGGTAGTACTATTTGGGCTGGTCCAGGTATGAGCATGGCAGAATATGATTCGATCAAAACACTCAATATTTTGGCATTACCTTCACAGAGGGATTTTGAATTCTGTATAGAGAGGCAGATATTAGTCTGCATAAACTGTGTTACAGTATTGTTGTTCTGCGCCATCACTGTGCAAACCAGGTTGGTGAACCTGAACAGAGGCCCGCCCAAGACATCCAGAACTTAACACCGGGGAACAGGACCCATTGTTCTTACGCTTTAACTGTTACAAATAAGCAAAAACATTCAAGTTCCTTCAGAACGAGGAGCAAATTATCATCAAAAGTAGTTTTCCAAGGCCTATTGTCATAGCGAGACCGCTCTTAGCAAGTTTCTATACCAAACGCACCACTGACTGTTGCTGAATTTAGACGCTGATATTAGCGTCCTTTAAGGAACGTTAACGTATTGTTCTTTCACATACAGTAAATGGGAAAATATGGAGAGCGAAATAGCGTTTTTTCTAGTTGGTGTTTGACTAAGAATCAGCCACGTATGTTTGCTTAATTAGGCAAATTCAATTAAAGAACAGATGTCAAATTTCCACTGAATAGACAATTGAAAGTTCAATAAACACAATTTGATCCTTGCTTTCATTTAGCAGTAAAAAAATTCAAAAAATGATTTGTGTGTGTGTGTGTGTGTGTGTGTGTGTGTGTGTGTGTGTGTTCATGGCGGTAAGGAAGAAAATGAGAGAGAAAGTTTACGTACTGGATACAAAGTTGACCCCGGAAGTGGCCCACATACGTCGGCACACTCAGAATATCCACTTGCCCAGCGACATCTTACAATATCCCCATCTGCATCAACACTCGGGATGTCAAATTGATAGCCACATGTGACATCCATGCTATTGAAAATAAAAATAATGACAAGAACCATTTTAATTATAGTGGATCAATACGTTATTAACGGGCTCCCTAGCGAATTGTATTGACTTGATGTGCACTAATATTAGACTTCTGTGATTAAAGTCATGTGATGATCCGTGAAGATTTACTTGCACTAAACATCAAGTACTTACTTAACCATGGGGCTACTTGTGGTTACTGGGCTTGCATTTGGTTTTCCAGTGTCATTTCGGATACCAGCATTATATTTGGTTGTAATTGCCCATCTTTTCCTAAATCCTGTTTCCAGTGTTACCCAGCAACAGTCTTTAAATCTGAGATGTTTAAAATGTGGAATGAGACACACAAATACAAGTACAGGGGTACCTGTTGAATAAATTTAATAATTTGCTTTAAAACGACCAAGTGATATTATGCATCATTTAGGCCATGAGCCGTACATTTTATCTAATGGGCCTGATTTGGTCTTACAGTGCAATTTAAGACTAAAACTAGTCTGAGAATTAAGGGATAACAACTGTTCATTTTGGTCAAAAATGAATTTTCCTGGAGAATACAGCAATTTTCCCATATTTACCAATTGTTAATGAATCCATTCCTACATGAAAAATAAGTCCTGTTTTTTATTTATTTATTTATTTTTATTTTATTTTATTTATTTATTTTTTATTTTTATTTTATTGCATATCTCAAATAAGTACAGATCTCAACAAAAAATACAAAATTGGTAAATAACTAAATAAAAATCACACTCACTCTCACTCACTCACAAAGAGACACTCAGTCATTTGCAATATATATATATATATAGGTACTGTGTCATTTAAAATATATGTCAACAACGATATATTGATAACCTAATAGTAAAATACTTAATAATGCTTAATAAATAATATGATCTAATACAGATAAAAACAAATATGTGTTTTACTATCAAATATCGGCAGGGGAACATACGCAGATGGAAGATATCAGTCCAGGAAGAGAGGCTGCAGCTTTTTCCATTTTTCATTAAATTTATCTATTGTCATGTTTCTCAGACTTATATTTCTCTCTGCGATGTAGGCCCGTCTCCATTCTATTTTAATATTTTCTATGTTCGGGGTAATGTTTTTCATTTTATATTTATATATAATTAATTTTGTTATGATCAGCAAACTGTTGAGCGCATTGTATTTCAAATTTGGAATTCCTAGAATTATATCAGATGCTGTTAATTGTAATACAAGTCCAGTCTTTAAATGGATCCAGTCTTGTATTTTTGCCCAAATGGGAGCAATTACTTTGCACTCAATAAATAAGTGTTGAAGAGTTTCAGGGTGTTCGTTACAGAAGGAGCAGGTCTCTGTGTCTTTTATCCCAATTTTTCGTAAAAAATTATTTGTAGCTAAAATTCTTTTTGATACTCTAAATTGAAACCAGCGAAGTTTAGTATCTAAAGTACATTGGAATGGAATGTTATTCAAGATTTTCCACTCTTCAGCTGTGAGAGGTTCTTTAGAAAGGAGTTCCCATTTTGACATTGCATTAGTCTTTTTCATTTCGTTTGAGTTCAAAATATTGTAAAAAGGTTTCCCCCCTTTTGTAAATTTTAATAACCATTTAAGTTGGGTTGAAATTATAGGGAGCTCAATTTTTTCGTGTAAATTGTGTATATTCATTTGTTTTTGAATTTTTTTTTACTGCGCATAGTATACTTGTAAACGTGCCTTTCCTTGAACTGTTCGTATGTGAGGTAATTTCCCTCTGTATCGATCAAGTCATTTTTGTTTCTTATACCTATTTTATTACAGGTTCTTATAAGAATAGGATTGTTTTTTATCCGTATTTTATCATTTAGCCATAAACATTCTTTTAAAAAAATTTCTTTTGTATCAATCTTTTTATTCTTTAACAGTCTGCACCATGCATCAATGACCTGATTCCAAAAAGCATTTTTTGATCCGTTCTTAATTTTTTGCATTTCAGATATTCCCACTTCAGACCAGTGTACACCCTTACTTTCAGGGATCAGACTAAGGAAAAAGAAAGACCATTTTGAATTTTTGTGCATGATTCTCCTGAGCCATGAAATTTTTAGGGAATCAATATAGTTTCTAATATCGGGGACTTTTATACCTCCATTTGAGTACGACTGTGTCATTATATCACGTTTTACTCTTTCAATATACCCATTTCATATGAAATTAAAGCACATTTTTTGTATTTTGTCTACATATTTGTTTGGTATTGGCAATGTGGAAAATAAATGAGTCATTTTTGGAAGGATCAGTGATTTAAAAATTATATTTCTCCCCAGAACTGTTAGCGATCGGTGAGTCCATTGTTTCATAATTCTTTCCATATCTTTGAGTTTCTCTCTATAATTTTTCTCAATCATTTCATGTAAATTTACTGAGAAATCTATTCCAAGGATTCTGAAAAAACGTTCATTCCAATCGAGATTCAACTCTTTACACATGCTCTCTTGTGAGTCTTTCTTGCTTCCGAACCAGTTTAATTTAGTTTTTTGATTGTTCATTTGTAGTCCAGAAAATTGGGAGAATTCATTTAGAACCTTTATGGTATTTCTTAAACTTTTTTCAGTCCCATCCAACACAATAGTTGTGTCATCAGCATACTGGGAGATGAGAAAAGTTTGATTATGTATTGTAATGCCTTTTATGTCTATTTCATTTTTTAACATGATACTTAGTATCTCAGCACAAAGAATGAAAAGGTAAGGGGAGGTGGGATCCCCCTGACGGCAACCCCGAGAAAGATTGAAGAAAGAAGAGGCAAAACCATTAACCAAGACACACGAAGAGGAGTCTTTAAGGAAGAGTTTTATCCATTTTATGATAGATTCTCCAAAGCCAAAGAATTCAAAGGTTTTTCGATAAAATCCCAGTCGATTGAATCGAAAGCCTTAGCAAAATCGATTTGCATCAACAGACCTGGTATTTCATGTGCGTCACAGTATTCAATTAAGTCGAAAATGGTCCGTGTATTCTCACCTATGTATCTGCCCGCCATAAACCCATTTTGGTCTTCATTTATTAATATTGTTAATACTTTCTTTATTCGATTCGTTATACATGCCGAGGCGAGTTTATACACAACATTAAGTAGTGATATCGGTCTTAGGTTTTTTAACGAGTTGGTAGGCTTATTATGTTTTGGTAGAAGGACGATTATACCCCGGGTAAGAGTTAAAGGTAGTTTGTCTTTTTCGTATGCCTCGTTTATACATCTTATTAAAAAACTATTCATTTCTTTCCAAAAGAATTTGAAAAATTCGTAAGTAAACCCATCGGTACCTGGGCTCTTTTCATTTTTCGTTTGTCTCAATACTGTATAGAGTTCACCGTAGTTTATCTTTCCTTCGAGCGAGGATGCTTCGGCTTCGGGCAATTTCGGAGTTTCAATATTTTCCAATCGAGTTTTTATGTCTACTGATTCGTGATTTTGTTTCTTAAATAAATCTTCGTAAAAGCGTGCGGTTTCTTTGAGAATCTCATTTTGTTCAGTAAGAATATTTCCGTTATCTGTTACCAGTTTAGTTATTGACTTATTTGTAAAATTGCGATTTTCCATTGCTAAAAAGTATTTTGATGGTTTTTCTCCGTATTCTATCCATCTTTCTTTTGATCTTATCATTATGCCTTTTACTTTTATTTTTCTTATATTTTCCAGTTTCATCTTTTCCTTATTTATCATTTCAAGAATTTCTTTTTTTGTCTAATTCGGCCTCATTTTTAAGATCATTCTCTAGGTCGTTTATAGAGTTTTCCACTTGTTTTTCCTCTGACTCTCTTTTCTTTTTTATCCTAGCACCAAAAGCAATCGTTTTCCCCCTAATTTTCATTAAGAGAGTTTCAAGAAATAGCCCATCGCTTATAGTTAACTGTAAAGAATGTCTGTCAATATTCAGTATGTTATCTCTATTATAGGGCGCTGCTGCATACTCTAAGATAGTTTCATTGATTATCTGCTTTACCATATCGGCATACTCACTTTCATGTAAGTGGGAGTTATTGAATTTCCAAAAACCTTTTCCGTGTTTAATTTTCCTTTTTAACTGTAAGTCCAGAGTTATAATGGATTGGTCGCTCTTATAACCTGGAATAATCTGACTATCTTCGATATAATTTGTAATGGTTGTGGAAACAATAAAATAATCTAACCTTGCCTGTTTAAAAGGCGTAGGCTGCCGCCATGTATACTGTCTAACTTCCTCATGCATTTCCCTCCATATGTCGTGCCAGTTATGTAAGTCCATCAAGGTATAAAGTTGATTAGAGGTCTTGGGGTTATTTTTATGTTTATAGTTACATGTGTCCTTCTCTTGGTTTAATACTAAGTTAAAGTCCCCACAGATAATATGATCCTGATTTCCAAAATTAATTATTATCTCGTGTATTTTGAAGAAAAATTCAGGTGAATCATTACTAAGAGCAATAAAGTTTCCGTTAGTGTCTTTCTCAACCTCCTTAATTTTATATTCAAAATTGTTGATAACCAGTATTGCAACTCCTCTTGAATTAGAGGTTCCATGACTGAAAAAGCATTTAAAACCCCATTCAGCTGCTATATATNTAGTAAACCCATCGGTACCGGCCGGCCTGGTTGTTGTAGTTTACACAACTAGATATATTTGCTTTAGAACCGCGTTTACATTCGCAACAGCTGGATCGAGCCAATATCGCTAAAATGCTTTCAGTGTATACATGTAGTAGTCATCCTTATTGTCTGACACGCATCCTTGAGTACCTATTGAATTAGCTAATAAGGGGCACCGGAGGAGACGAGAATTTATCAGAATTGTGCCGGAAGCTGATCATGTCTGCCAAGCTTACATGGTGTAAGACGCGAAGCTGGGTGGTCACTTTTAGCTGGAGGTGAACGGGAGTAAAGTCGTGGACTCGGAGAAAAAAGCAGTTTTTCTAACAACACGGTAAGATAACAATTTTAATTTTATGCATTTTGGACAGAGAATACTTGTAGAAATAATTGGAGCATGATATGAAAACGTGTCGCGGATTTTAAGGGTGAAAAATCGTGCTTTATTTGCAGACAATTTGTTCTGAAATATATGCTGCATCGACCGCCGGCGCAACAAAGAGCGTCAAGGAAAAATTCCCGAGAGTCTATTTATCGTTGTCATGTGGAATTTTTGCATAAGTCCAATCGGTAAGCCCATATCTAAGTATTTTTGGGTGTTTTATGGTATGTGCTGCAATTATTACGATGTTTTTGAGTCGTTGAAGGCCCT